GCAGCAGCGCGCCCGTCGCGGCCTGCGGGTCCACCCACAGCTGCGAGCCGGCGGCCGCCGCCGCGCGCACCGTCTCGCGCACCAGCGCGCGGTCGCTGTGCAGCGCGTAGCCGTCCACGATGTGCGCCTTCGAGCGCGACACCGCGGCGAGCATGGCGGCAGGCGGCGCCTGTTCGCCGCCGCCCGCGTCGGCGGCAGGGAGCTCGTTCGACGCCAGAAAGGTGTGCTGGCCGTGCGGGTCGGTCAGGGCCGCGCACGTCGGAATGGTAACAAGTGGCCGCGCGGCCATGGCGCAGGTGTCCAGCCCGATGCGCGCGGCGGATTCGAGGGCAAACGCGGAGAGGAGGCGGTCGCTGGGAGGCGTTTCCTCGCGTTGGGTTGCGATGTAGGCGACGTGGGCCGCGCGGGCGCCGAGACGGTTCGCGCTGATGAGGGCGTTCATGGAGCCGCCCAGCTCCATGCGGGCGCCGGATGTGAGCGATTGATGATGGCCCGCACGCACTGGGTATGAGGTGATGGGGAGGATGATGTCGACGCAGAGATTGCCCACGGAGGTGATGTCTATTGTTTTGGGGGATTGGGGTGCTGCGTTGGCTTCTAAAGGCGTGGTCGAACGGGAACGGGAACGGGAACGGGAACGGAAGCGGCTTGTCTTCGCTGCGTTTCTTGCGCAACCAAAGCACGGGGCGAGGGGGCACGCTAGAAACGCTGTTGGCACCATTGCTCGGTTGCAAGTTAGTGGCTCCTGTAAAGAATACAAAGCATGGATCCGTGACTGGCGGTTCTCGTGATAGTGTGATAGTGTGAGAGGCCTTCCCAGAATTGTTGTCAAAGGGTGAGTGCTGTGTACGTGGTGCGGGGGGGGGTCATGCGAAGGAAGCTACGGTGCAAGCAAGTGTTTAACAGTTAAGTTGAGGTGATCTCCTCGCACACTCTCGGGCGGAGGTACCCTTCGAAGGGTAGAACCCGTGGAGGAAGGCACAGGATGCGTCGGCTCTTATTTCTTCTACCCGGGTATTGGAAGGGTAGAAGAAGCTGTGGGTGAACAAGTGTTTCCCGAAATGCAAAATCCAAGGGCTTCTGTTAACGGTATACGTACAGGTACAGTAGCAACGGTAATTTAAATGATCGAATCGAGATCAACACAGGTGAGGACGGGCAACAATCTGGTCGTCCCCAGAGGCTGCCATCGCCCACTCAACTTTGCACAACGCGTCAACGCAACGTCCCTGCGATGTCCCCCCTTTGTCGCCCACTCATTGCTCACGGAACAGCATTTCCCGAAACTCCCTCTCCCATGCCCCTCACCTATTTAATTTAGCCCTCGCTACAATACCAAACTACCATGGTCGATCCCGCCATCAACTCCTCATGCTTACCCACCATGAAAGACACCATGAAAGACCACACCGTGCACAGCGGCATGGCGTGTACTGAGGTCGTCACTCCGTTGCTGACAGACCTGTACCAGCTCACCATGGCATACGCCTACTGGAAATCAGGTCGCCACCACCTCTTCACCACCTTTGACCTGTTTTACCGCCAGCCCCCGTTTGGCGGCTCCTTCATCGTCTTTGCCGGTCTTCAAGACTCCATTCGTTTCATTGCCTCTTTTCGCTTTCAACCAGACCACATTCGCTATATTTCCACCGTCATCCCTGGTTGCCATCCCGCTTTCCTCACATGGCTCCAGTCCCTCGACTGCACCAAAGTTCGCGTCGATGCCCTCAGAGAAGGCTCCATAGCCCACCCTAATGTACCATTAATGAAAGTATCCGGCCCGCTTGCCGTTGTACAGCTCCTCGAGACTACGTTGCTCAACTTGGTAAATTACGCAAGCTTGGTCGCCACCAACGCCCATCGATTCCGAATCGCTGCAGGCCCGGAAACTCTCCTACTCGAGTTCGGTCTCAGGCGTGCTCAGGGCCCCAATGGCGCCCTCACCGCCTCAAAATACTGCTACCTAGGCGGCTTTGATGCCACCAGTAATGTTGCAGCTGGCTTCAAATTTGGAATTCCTGTCAAAGGAACCCACGCTCATGCCTATGTTCAGAGCTTCCACGGAATCGAGGATATTGTCCGCATCACTGCGTCAATACACAAGCCTGATGGTTCCCATCTTGATTTTCAGCGTTTTGCGACCCGTGTCTTAGAAGTGCGACGTTTGCTGGGCTCGGAGCATTGTACTTCAGATGGAGAGTTAGCCTCTTTCATTGCCTATGCCGCAGCGTACCCCTCCTCCTTTTCCGCCCTCGTCGATACTTACAGCACTCTTAAATCTGGTGTCCCAAACTTTATGTATGTCGCTTTGGTACTTTCGGAACACGGGTTATCTGCACTGGGTGTCAGACTTGATTCAGGGGATCTTGTCGCGCTTTCTTTAAGAGTGCATGAGCTTTTTTCTTCCCTAGCAAGTCAGTACGGGGCAATCTGTAAACCATCAACAGATCACCACCTCGTAATGATAAAACGGTTGTCCATTGTCGTCACCAATGACATAACTGTAGACTTTCTAGAAGATATTCGCTCCAGGGAGCACAGGATATCTGCACTCGGGGTAGGCACACATCTCGTCACATGCAGGGAAACTCCAGCTTTGGGATGCGTCTTTAAATTATCCAGCATCTCTGGTGTTCCACGAATGAAGTTTTCTGAAGAGTGGCACAAAAGTTCTGTGCCAGGAGATAAACAAGTGATTCGCGTTCGAGATGCCAAGGGGAATTTGTACGACGTGCTTATGCTAGCATGCGAACGTCCGCCAGTGATAGGAGAAAAATGCGTGCTCAAGACTCGTTCAAACCCATCAAGGACAGTCAGCGTCGTTCCAACTGTTGTGGAGTCGCTACTGCGCCCATCATGGGACGGCCAGATTCAGGGCGACATCGGCGATTCGTTTCAGTACCTCAAGTCGGCTCGGGATGCTCTTAAGACTGAATCTGATTTGATTCCGAAGTATAGAGAAGAAAACGTTCTCATGTCACAAAAGCTGTTCGCGATGATAGATGAGATTTGGCAATCACAGTTTACGGGCATGGGTCCGTCCATCCAGAAAATCTGATAACAGTCCGGACAGATTTTCAGGGCCTTGCCACTGCAGCGATTAAAGGAAAACGCATTCGTCTTTATCGTAAACGAACGTACCTTGCCGTACACGCACTTGGATTGGAGACTGAATTGAGGAATTCTTGTTTCTTCCTTGCTTACGGCCTTTTAGGTATCGCATGCTGGATGGATCTTGACACCAATGTCCAAATGTGACCTTGGGTGAACGGAACGGCTAGTGTCTACTAGAGGGGGAAACTCTGCGCACTGGGATCCCTGGAGCCGAGACTAGCCAGCGATGATATGAAGCCAAGACACGGTCTTGGCCCCAAGTCTGGTGCCGGAAACAATCAATTGATAATCACCATGTGGATAGCCATGATTTGTCCGCACACAATTGAACAGCAATGGATTCTAGAGGGAGGCTCGATGACCTTGCGATGTGGCAGCCCGTCCATGTATCCTATCAGCCATTCATGAACTTTCCACGCACGGCAATGCCGTGGGCTTGGAAACACGACAGCATGCAAGTACGTAGCCAAACAGAGCGAAGACTCTGCAACCGACGAGCATTATTCGCTACCTTTCTAACCGTCCTGGTTTCATCACTGGCATTGCCGCCAGTGCATGGATCTCAGACAGGAAGCGACGGATGCAAGGCGGCTTCCAACTGGACTGCCGAGGACGTCATTGCAACTCATGATCAAAACAACGACGACACTCCGCGCAAATTCCAAGACTTGAACGTGCTCGGCTTCGTCACGCCGTGGAACGCGGGTGGAAAAGACGTCGCTGTACGCCAAGCATCTCGTGGACGCCTAGATGATGTCTCCCCAGTCACGTGGCAAATGCATCCCGACGGGCTGGCCGGTGGCCACGACTTTGACGAAAATTTCTACGCGGACCTTTCCAAAGCCGGTGCCAGAATTTACCCCCGCATTCTTTTCGAAGCTCACAAGTGGAGTCTGGATGATTTTCGTGAATTGAGCGATGATCCCAGTCCTATGGTCGCAAGAATTACTCAGATGTGCTCAAAGGGTGGCTTCCAAGGCGTTGTTCTAGAAATCTGGCAAGCGCTTTTAGCTACAGGGGCTCTAAGTGGGAAGGAAAAAGACAAGTTTATCATGCTTGCCATGGCCCTCGGTGAAAATCTTAGAAAAGATGCCAACCTTCGCACAGTGCTAGTGCTCCCACCGTATAGCAGTCGGAAGAGCGCTGGTCAGGTTAATTCGAGTGACATTGCAAAGCTGAAAATTGCGTTCAACTTCTTTGTAGTCATGACCTACGACTTTTCGGTTCCAGGTTCTCAGCCAGGACCAATGGCCCCGATTGCGTGGGTGAGGGCAGTTGCGACCTACCTAGCAAGGGAGTGCAGTCTTGGTGAAAAGCTGCTTGTGGGGTTTAACTTTTACGGTTTGGACTTCTTGAAGAGCAGCCCCAAAGGCGCCGCTTCTACTGACAGGCATATCGTAGGACATGAAGTCATTGCCCTGTTGAAGGAGCATCGCCCGCAACTCTTGTGGTCGGATGGTGTTGGAGAACATGCGTTTGTATATCAGAAGGAAGAAGAACAACATGTCGTGTTCTACCCTTCCATTCCAAGCATTGCACAGCGGATAGCCCTTTTGCGCGATGTAGGATGCGGAGGTGTTGCTATCTGGGAATTAGGGCAAGGTCTTGACTACTTTTTCGATGAGTTCTAACAATAGACCATATCTTAGTCTACTTCAGGATGTGATCAAATCCATGCGCACAATGCTTTGTATGCTTCCTTGACATTGAGCTGTCACGTTTCCGTGAAACGCGACAGAAGCTCTTTTTTTAAAGCACCATCCATGCAGATGTACGAGAGCCCTTTTCGTCCCATTTCATTATTTCCCCTGTGGTGTTTCATGTAATTCACGTTATTCGTAGAATTCCGTGCACATTGCGAAAGCTACTTACGACACTCAGCAGGGCTCAGCCATCAAACGACATATTTGCTGGCAAAGCTGACAAACTTTTGAAGGTAAGAGCAAGACGAATTTAACATGCCCCTTCTCAAAGTATTTTTTACATATTACTTTCCAACGTAATTGCAAAGAAATCGGGTCGTCTGAGACGACAGCGTACTGTATCTTTTAAAGTTCTAACCTCAAACAATGGACGTTTACCTCTGCGACATACTTTTTGGACTTATTGTATGACTGACCTGGCTAGTAGAGCACTCAGCCCACAATTACTTTAAAGATTCGTCTTAATTCGTTTTCCCTCGCTCGATATGCCAAAAAAACAAGGAGCAACGAGAAAACAAAAAGAATACTTGAAACCGCCTGATCTTCCAACAACAACAAAAAGACGAAATACACTTAAACCAATATGATGCTTCCACATTTTAATCCAGTTTGTATATCAAAATCTTAGGTATATACAAAAGAATTTGAAAATAAGTTTCGACGGCAGGCACCGCTATTGTCGCGAAACGGAAAACGTTGCTTACTAGCTATCAGTAGAAAAATAGAAAATAAAATGATGAAAAAAATGATGAAAAAAGACATACACCAGAAATCGAATGAAATGAGTTTCCCCACACTCTTCAACAAAATGGAAATCTTGAAGGCTGAGGGTATCGCCCAAATATAAAAAACGCTCAACACTTCATTACCTTTCATTCTCTGCATATAATTCGTGTCTGTTAGTCAGTAGATCTTCTATAGTGACCCTCTATCATCCAAAAAATTCGTCTTCTCGAAGAAGAGCAAAACCATAAAAAACATGGATGCTCATTTACTGTAGTGCCCCGATATTGTATTGCACTCCCATTGTCAGCTTTTGGAGGGAGTTAAAAAGTACCAGTTTTCTCTCTGAAATTTTAATGGATACGTCGGAGCGCTTATGTTTCATCTCCTATCCTAGCGTGAGGGGCACAATAGTGTGCTAGTTAGAGTGTGATTCTGAGTCTTTTCATAGCCCGAAGTGATCTAAATAACAATTCTGAACAAGACTGAGTATGCCTTTAATTTAGACAGAAGAGCATCAGCACTTCACGAGAGACTTAATAGGGCCATCAATATCTTTGGTCTTTCATGTGACTATGTGCAAAGTTTGTACGCCGTAAGTTCTTCTGAATAAAATTGCTCTTCATAATATGAACAGCAATTTTATTATCATATTATGACTGAGCTAAAAGATGCCATGAGAGTGCAGTACGTGTAGCAGTTCAGGTGAAAGCTTCATAGAAAATCTAGGTTTAGCTTGTCCCTTATTCGTCATTCCTTATGCATAGAGCCGGCCCTTTTTTACAGATACATTGAAATTTTCCTCTGGAAGGGAATCTGAACGTTTGAGGAAAGAAGAAGTGGTATACAGAGAAGAGTCGCATTGATGATTCACTCTGTAGCCTTGTACACGTTAAATGCAGAGATCAATCGTTTTTATAAACCCCTCCCTTTCGTTCGAAGAGATGATCGGCTCTGAGAACGGGTTTACCGAACCCGTGACAAGTATGGATGCCATGAGCAGGCAAAAGGACACTGATTCAACATTCAACTTTTTGTGCTATGGATTCTTCTTCGTCGCGCCGATGCATTTTATCAAACTGTCATGAAAATCAAGGAGTGACGGAGATATGGCTCCGTTTCCGACATTGGCAGCAGTAGTAAATTGTTCAGTTTCGCGAGGGTTCGCATAAAGGCTATCTGGAACACACGGGAAGAAAATTGGTCATACCGTGGCCTGAAGCTTTTTTAGAATGTCGGTTTCCTGTTGAAGTGGCTACGCAGATGTGGCCAACGGTTTATGACATGATCTGCATGCCTCATCTCTCCTTCCGTGGTATTCTTCCAGGTGCTTCTACCTAATTTGGGAATCTAGTTAATTTTAACACTGCTCTGCGACACGACGCCTGCGCGTGAGAAGACCAGGGTGAATCATTTACATATAAGCAAAAAAGATCTCGTTGTTCATGCTCCTACCGTCAGCGTATTCGCACAGAGAGAAGAATTAGTAAAACGAGAGGTTCAGGCGTTGGGAGCAGGGGAAGGGGAGGGGGGGGGGGGGGGGGGGGGACTCCAGATTGAATGACATGAGGGGCCCCGGATGGTCTACTCGGGGTGTTTAAAGCAATATAGGCGGACAACTTCGGCAAGCAACTTACGGCACATGGAGAGC